GGATTAGTAACTCATTTAGTTTTATGAAGACTCTTTAAAACAGCAATGTGTAACTTTTAGCCACTAGGGGTACAAGATCTTTAACTTTAGCCCCGTTGAAGGCCACTGGCAACGCTGCACTTTAGTAAAATTAAACAGTTTGACTCGTGTTTTGGAATCTCATAGCAGAGAACTTGCAGACTGAGAAGTCATGGAGCATTTGCAAAGTCATGGTAACACTCACCAGTGTTCACAGGGTAAGATATGTTCTAATAATTTTCATCAGAACTATCAGGATGCATAGAGATATTTATGGAATTGTCATTGAAAAAAAAAAGCCCAAGAATGCAGCCATGATAAACCCCATGTGATCTCTGTTAAGTCACATTTACACCTATCAAAATGTGCAAAATACCACCAGTCCACTGAGGAAGAGTGGAGAAAGTTTAGCACATTATCAAACTATCCTCAACTTTTCCAGCCAATAAAGTAGTACAGGTTAAATTAAGCATATAGTGGATAAGATTTGCAGATGCTGCTTTTATAGTTCATCCAAACAAATCTTATAATCTTGATGTTTTTTTTTATGAGAGCTTGAAAAGCAACATAAATGGAACTTTATTTATCTCGGGTTACAATTATTATTACAGAGTTAACTCATTTTGTTTAGTAATAATTATCCCAAAATGAATGTGGCCAATGCCACAGCTGACAGAGCAAAGTGTGGGGACTCTTCATCTCCATCTCCCACAGCCAAGTAAAAAGCTTTATTGGCATAACTAATGCAATGCCTGGGAGGCTATCAGGAGAAATGGGAGGCGTTGAAAAACAAGAGATTCACATGTAGAACAAAGTGGGACACCTAGAAAGATGTTTCTGCTGTGCCGAATCACCAGTTAATTGTTTGGCATAGAGCCGTAACTATCTTCTTACTTGCTTTGGCCTCTTGTACAGCCAGTGAAGAATGCTGCATTTAACCTCATGCTGATTTTCAACTCAACATGAAACTGTTGAGTTTAAGGCAGCCCTGTTCATCTTCTCTGATAGAAAAACAGTCATAAACAGGACATAAAATGCTACAGCCAAGTATATTAAATTGTGGCAGCAATGATGCATACAGTAACACCATTCTTATTTTCTATATATTTTTTACTGTTTATTCCTGATAAATACATATCAATGTCTTCAGATTCCTGCAGTCCTTGTTCATCTCCCTATGTTGTGATATTGTTTAGAATGACTGAGACAGTTGCTTTCTATTTGTTCAGAAAGATTCAACACCAAAGCTATTTACACATTTGATTTGTATTGCTTTATTCTTAAGAAAGTATGATTATTTAAGTGTTTTTTTCCTTTACTTGATTCCATTCTTTCCAGCTTGGGATGAAGAGTAAAGCCATTAAATCGCCTTTATTTTTTGGAGTAAAAAAATAAAGGTGAGGGAAAGCAACATTTAAATGCCCTTTATTCTTCATAATTTCTAAAGTGATGCCATACCGTAAAAACGTTAATCTTAACCTTTCTGAATTAACTTTCATTTTGAATTATGTAGTTAAATTGGAATGTGTAAATGTAGCTTTTGTTTCTCTTTACAGTGGTTAAAACATCACACACACAAAAACATCGCAATCATACTATTCTATTCAACTATACCATTCATAATGTACGTTTTTTAAAAAGAGGCTAAAAAATGAAGATTTTTTTTATATAGAACTTTTGGGTCAATGCATCTCAAATGTAAGACATGACTTTGTAGGCTATAACTGTTGTAGGCTTTAGTAATCACTATGATACTGTAACTGTTAAGACCAGATTCCTGAATTGAGTGTCTTTGGCTATGTTGACAAAGCAGGATGAAGTGACCCAGGTCTGATTTTTTTGCCCTTATACGACCTGTATCTGATCTTTTCATGACAGTGTGAACATCACAAATCAAAATTTTTCCAATGCAATCCAGGCCACTTGGCTATGTGGTCATGAGTCTGATAAGTATCTGATCCTTGCAAATGCCGTCTGTGTCTGAACGGCCAGGTCGCATTCATCTGACCTGAACGGCATTAATACTCAACGAAGGTCTCTTTTCAGTGTCTTGCTACACAGAAGCGGCAAAAAAACAACAACAACCATGACGAAAGATAATACAGAGAGCAGGTTTTATTCCCAACCCTCTTGAAAAGACTGTTGTTAATGCATTGGCTCAGGCTTTTGTGGGAATTAAAGATGCAAGATGTGCTCAAGCTCTACCATCCATGTTTACTTCCTTAAGCATTGTGATATCATTACACCTTGTACTGTGCATGAAGGACACTTAAATTGTGTGAATGCATTTAACACAGGAGATCACATATGAGTCGCATATATTAGGAATTTTGAGCAACCATGCAAAAAAAAAAAAAAATTGTATTTCACCAAAAAAATTGCAATTGAGCATTAATGCCCACACTGTGTAAACATAGCAACAGAGACTTTTTGGTAGGGGCTAAATAGTAGCATGAGGCTTTCAG